AATAGTTGAACGTCCCATGTAAACTAACTATTTTTTTTTTTCTTAACTTATTACCTTTATCCACACGTGCAAATGATGATTAACAAAAATAGGTCCAAAATAGAATAATTCCCTGCATATAAGGAATTATCATAGAAATGATATACGCAACATCTATATGGTGCAATTTTTTGTGTTCGTCGTATCAAAAATCAATAAAAAATCGTCAAGTGTTTTTCTATAAAAATTCTGTTAAATTTTTTCTGTACTTGTAACATCTCTCTCCAAACTAATAGAACATTATGAATAATATAACATAAACAAATCATATGAAATATATTAAATAGTTGAACGTCCCAAGTAAACTAACTATTTTTTTTTTCCTTCAAACAATTGGTGATCACATGATTCGTGTTATCGACTAGGGTTTTAAAGAATGTCACATGTAACCTCGCATTTAAAGATAAATTATATACCTCACTTCTTCAAATATATTTTGTACATAAGAGAAATTAAAATTAAAATTCTAATTCTAATATTAAGTTAAACTTGTGGTTTAAATCTTATAATCAAAAGTGCTACATTTGAACCAAATGTCTTGACAAAATGAGTGACCGAAAACTCAATAAAAATAAAGTAGAAATTCCTTCGGACAGTTGAGCAGCAACTGAACGTGGATATTACTTTTATAAAGATTAAAATCAGACAAAAAAAATAAAATAAAAAGAACATCTGGCAATTGAGATACGTTGTCTTCAATATATTTGTTATACCTTAATGCATCATTTTTTTTTTTTTTTAAACAAATGAAAAGATGCCAAGATCTAATGTGTCCAAAAGTGTAAGAAACTGTATTATTTTCTAAGAAGTGACGTGTCTGAACATCAGAAATGTATAGAAAGACAGCCACGGAGAAAATAAGTTCGAAAAAGTAGATGTATTGGAATTTGTATTAGGGCTTCACTAAAGTTATGAATTTTATAAAATTATTTAAATTTGAATGTTGATTACCCATTATGTTTTGCTGAAAGATTGAAGAAGAAGAAGAAGAAGAAGAAGAAAAAGAAGAAGAAGCAGCAACGTATGAAAAGTGAAATTTTGGCCTAACATAATTTTAGGGTCTAGTTTTCAAATATTCAGTAATTATTCTCATAATATACCAGCAAAAAGAGAAATTAGGGAGAATTGAATTCACTATTGATTCTTAATATAGTAAAAGAACTTAATCGAAACTGATCGATTCTTGATGCATTGTCTTAAAATCGATCCATTTAATAAAGGAATCAGAACTGACCTGGTTGGTTCTATTCAACTTTGGTCCAATTCCATAGATTTCGGGAAACTTGAATATCCCTATTCACAAGTGCAAGGAAATGAATATTGAAGAATTTATTATTCGGTCGAGGATTGAAGAAAACAACCAGAAGTCTAATTGGTGGAAACTAATTCAAAGAATAAAATTGAAGCATCCTAGAGACTCCTCTAAGCAGGGTAATAACAAGAATATGAAAAGAAGTTCAAAAGCGTAGAATATCGCTAAAATGAATGTCGCAAACCTAAGAAACAGGCTCAAGCAAATGCCAATGGATCATATGTGTTAAAAAAGAAGGGGCTCGTGACAAGAAATGGCAAATGCGTCTTTTAAGTAAAGGTGTAGCATGGGCCCACCTACTAGACGAGACCAAGTCGAGCCATTCTCTTGATGGTTACGTGACTTGATAGTAGGATTCCCTCTCGCTCGACTAGGCAAGAGAGGAGGTGTGTTTTGTTGTGGGCTACATAACTGGGTCTTTGTTTGGCGAGATTGGCCCTTCTTGTTCGTTATCGTCATGGGCTTGTCTCTTCCATCGAGGAACTCTATCGTGAAAATTGGTACGAGGTTTCACACCCAACATTAAGGTGTATCAGCCTTTTACTACATGATAGGTGAGGTGTGCATCTGGCGTTGACATCCAAGTTTCGATTTAGTACTACTAAAATTTCCTATTATCATCACTGGCGGAGCCACGTTGAGACAAGTGCGGAAATTTTGGGCCCAAACTATTTTTTTTTATTTTTAAATATAAAGCAACAGGGGAGGTGTTTTTTTTTTTTTTTTTAAGCAGAAGGAGAGGTGGAATAAAACACATGTTTTAATTTACATGGGTTTTATTTTTAGATCCAAACACATGATTTTGTTTTATAGTTTTATTATCATTAAATTCATTACCAAAACATAATGTTCGACATGGGTTAAATTATGCCCGCACTGAACAAATTTCTTAGCTCCGCCCCTGATTATCATGGTGGTTAAAATCATTGAAACGGTGCTAATTAATACTTTGCAACATCGTTCTCCAAAATGGATTTCAAGTTCCATTAATTATTCTCGCAATTCCATCTTCATTTAAAGATAAATCATTTATCTCACTTCTTCAACTATATTTTGTACATAAGAGAAATTAAAATGAAATTCTAATTCTAATATTAAGTTAAACTTGTGGTTTAAATCTTATAATCAAAAGTGCTACATTTGAACCGAATGTCTTAACAAAATGAGTGACCGAAAACTCAATAAAAATAAAGTATAAATTCCTTTGGACAGTTGAGCAGCAACTGAATGTGGATATTACTTTTATAAAGATTAAAATCAGACAAAAAAATAAATAAATAAAATAAAATAAAATAAAAAGCACATCTGGCAACTGAGATACGTTGTCTTCAATATATTTGTTATACCTTAATGCATCATTTTTTTTTTTCAAAAACAAATGAAAAGATGACAAGATCTAATGTGTTCAAGTGTAAGAAAACTGTATTATTTTCTAAGAAGTGACGTGTCTGAACATCAGAAATGTATAGAAAGACAGCTACGGAGAAAATAAGTTCGAAAAAGTAGATGTATTGGAATTTTGTATTAGGGCTTCACTAAAGTTATGAATTTCATAAAATTATTTAAATTTGAATGTTGATTATCCATTATATTTTGCTGAAAGATAGAAGAAGAAGAAGCAGCTGCAGCTGCAGCGCATGAAAAATGAAATTTTGGCCTAAGATAATTTTAGGGTCTAGTTTTCGATTCTTGATGCATTGTCCCAAAATCGATCCAGTTAATAAAGGAATCAGAATTGAACCGGTTGGTTCTATTCAACTTTGGTCCAATTCCATAGATTTCGAGAAAATTGAATATTCCTATTCACAAGTGCAAGGAAATGAATATTGAAGAATTTATTATTCGGTTGAGGATTGAAGAAAACAAGAAGTCTAATTGGTGGAAACTAATTCAAAGAATAAAATTGAAGCATCCTAGAGACTCCTCTAAGCAGGGTAATAACAAGAATATGAAAAGAAGTTCAAAAGCGTAGAATATCGCTAAAATGAATGTCACAAACCTAAGAAACGGTCTCAAGCAAATGCCAATGGATCATATGTGTTATTTGATTGAATATCTATATGAACTTGTCTGTTGTTATTTCAAAATACATTAATGTTGGAAATCCGAGGAGTAGGGCTTGGACAATGGTACACTTGACACGTCTGTCATGATAATTTTCCTTTCCCATGATGTATAGCTAAAGTCATAAGTTTGGGCAAATAATATAACCTAGTTGTGAACCTTTAATTTCAATTTTTAAGATTTTTGTATTTATTTGTTCTATGTTTTGATTTTATTATATCCTTTAATGCTTTGAAGTAATTGATAATTATTTAAGTAATTTGTGAATTTATGAAGATTCGATAGATAAGTTATAAATTTAGACCACGTAGTAAAATTTGGCAATTAGATAAAAGGTAGAGATATACTTTTATTATGGTTGCGGCTTAGATTTAGTTTTTAGGTGGTTTAATACATTTAGTTTATGTTTACTTTGAATTAGGAAGAGATATATTGAATTGACTATGATAGATATGATTGATTTGAACTCGAGAAACGTAAACTAATTAAGTTCGTTAATTCGATAGAATACAAGTTTAGGAATCAAACTTGAGAGGTGAGAGTAAAAGTAATAACTACGGGTGAATTCGTGAGTCGTAATACTCTTTATTTATATATAAAAAAATTTCATTTAATATAATTGTGTACGTTAAAATTTCTTTTGTAGAATAACAATAATTAGTAACTTAATTGAATCACTTTAATTGTTTTTACTCAAATAGGAGTGAAGAATAGTTTAGTCAATATTTAGATAGATAGTCCGCATGAGAACAATAATTCATACTCTAATGTCTGTTTTATCAATTGTTAACATATCATACACTTGCAATACAAATAACACAATATAACAATGGTTGCCGGTGGTGGTAAAAAAGAAGGGGATCGTGACAAGAAATGGCAAATGCGTCTTTTAAGTAAAGGTGTAGCATGGACCCACCTACTAGACGAGACCAACTCGAGCCATTCTCTTGATGGTTACGTGACTTGATAGTAGGATTCCCTCTCGCTCGACTAGGCAAGAGAGGAGGTGTGTTTTGTTGTGGGCTACATAACTGGGTCTTTGTTTGGCGAGATTGGCCCTTCTTGTTCGTTATCGTCATGGGCTTGTCTCTTCCATCGAGGAACTCTATCGTGAAAATTGGTACGAGGTTTCACACCCAACATTAAGGTGTATCAGCCTTTTACTACATGATAGGTGAGGTGTGCATCTGGCGTTGACATCCAAGTTTCGATTTAGTACTACTAAAATTTCCTATTATCATCAGTGGCGGAGCTACGTTGAGACAAGTGCGGAAATTTTAGGCCCAAACTATTTTTTTAATTTTTTAATATAAAGCAACAGGGGAGGTGTTTTTTTTTTTTTTTTTAAGCAGAGGGAGAGGTGGAATAAAACACATGTTTTAATTTACATGGGTTTTATTTTTAGATCCAAACACATGATTTTGTTTTATAGTTTTATTATCATTAAATTCATTACCAAAACATAATGTTCGACATGGGTTAAATTATGTCCGTATTGAACAAATTTCTTAGCTCCGCCCCTGATTATCATGGTGGTTAAAATCACTGAAACGGTGCTAATTAATACTTTGCAACATCGTTCTCCAAAATGGATTTCAAGTTCCATTAATTATTCTCGCAATTCCATCTTGTACGTAACAGAACTTTTGACAAATCTTATATTCTTCGTGGATAGAGTCCTTTATTTTGCAAGCTTAAATACAATTTTTATGAATGTAATTTCCAATTCTATCAATACCAAGCTCATTTGTCACCCGTACACTTGAGCAGGACTAGTATTATGATTGATTTCTCGTTGTCAGGGTCCAAGAAATGGGACGACTCTTCAAGTTTGTTAGCATAACGCTCGAACAATTCATCCATGATTCCACTTCCAAATTGATTGACCAGCAATCCCTCAAAGACAGCCCTGAGATATGATGCGCGCTCATTGGCACTGCGTAAACTGTGCTTCCCAGGGTTGTTCAATATCTCCATTCTTTCTATACTGAAATTATTGTTCCTTTCGATTATGGCCTTTAATTCATTTGGGATTGTGAAGTACAAAGGAAAGTTGAACGAGTCTACTTTCGCTTTGCTCAGTCGTCCCTGAAATAAAAATAATAACCTTGGTTAGAACTATAAAACTGTGTTGCTTCTCAAAGGAAATGAATTAATTAACCTTACCTTGTTTGCCATGTCCATGAGGCAAGATCCCAAGACATCCATCTCTGTCGGGGTAGTGTACGTAGTCTCAGAATGATCGAAAGTTGGGACAGCAGGAACAAGAAAGGCCATTAGCCCTCCACTCACCACCTCCGTTGCCCTTGCATTCAAGAAAGATGTAATGTCCTTGTCATATTGATTCGAATAGGCATCGAAAACTTCCTTTTTAGCACCCGTATAATGTACTTTTCCTTCGTTCCATGCACGAGATGTGCGGTCTTGTACTGCTTTGGGCACCTCCGACAGCCAGTTTAGTGCACACGATGAATATGCAAAATGAAGGGAATCCTTGGGCAATAGTCGACCGTGAAAGGGACCGGGTACTCCAGCTGCACAGTACTTTCTCTCAGGTGGAAGTGAAGCAAAAAGGGTGTTAAAATCGTTCATCACTTGATCATTAAAAAACACTTGATAATCGAAATTTTGTAATTGTCTCTCTCTTTCAATTTTTTTCTCAATGGCTTGGATAATGATTTGAATGGCAGGAAATGAATTGTGTCCTGTGGAGCAGCCGAAATCCGCAATACGAAAGTTGTATTGGCTAGTCGAATACAATTGTTCGATGTCAAGTTTAATGATAATCTCTTCCTGGATGATTGGTTTTGCTACATCTACTACTCCTCTCTGTGCAATAATGCAAAAAAAATGATTATTCTGCAAAATTTATAGCACAAAAATAAAAATTGGTACCTGATGGGATGAGTTTTGGGCATAGCTATGAAGTCCATCTCCCCCATTCATGGCATAGAGCCCTTCTACTGGCTTATGCAGAGCGATGAATGGAGTCCGGAGGCGAAGCTCCTCATTGTCATGAGCTACTTTTTGGCTCAACGTCGTTCGAGTTGACATCCATCGAGGTCGATGTCCTCCGTAGGACATCGAGCAAGATCCATAGCATTTGAGCATAGCATATGATTGAGACATGACACCTCTCTCTCTCTCTCTCTCTCTCTCTCTCTCTCTCTCTCTCTCTATATATATATATATATATATATATATATATATATATGTACTTTGTAATTCCTACATTGGTAAGATTGTAAGTATTGTATTTATAGGTACCATTCTATGACAGCCCTTGTTGATCCCATTATTTTCAAATTACATTTTTTTAATCTTATTTTCAACCAAATATTTTTAATAAAATAATATTACATGTAAACTCAAAATTTTTTCTTACTCTTTAGTCACGTGTTTTCCATCAAAATACTATTTCAAAATGTATTTTGATAAGAGGAATATATATATAAAATTTCAAATAGGCCCTAGATTGGATTAGATTTGAATACAAACAGGGGCGGACTCACATGGGGTCATGTGAGGTCAAATGACTTCGCAGTTTTTTCGATTTTTTTTGGTGGCTAAAAACTTAATTTTCTACCTCAAGATGTCCATATTCTAAATCTATATACATATCACATGGTCCATATCCATTATTTAGTTCATAGATATATCATATAATCTACCGATTTCTTTCCAAAGTGCAAACACAGAACATGAACAGCAAACAATCGATTTTTCTTTTTTGTTCATGATACGTTGTTAAAAAAAATAATTTTTTTTTGACGTCACAGTTCGCACTTTCTGGATCCGCCCCCGAATACAAAAAAGGTCAACGTTCTCATAGCCGCCGCAGCCCGTTTGCATTATTGATGTATTCTTATTATGACAATTCATTAATAATTGCAACTAGCGTATGACAGCTCAATTTATTCAAGCATCTGTCTTAATGATTTCTTTGACTGCACAATTTATTCAAGCACTTCCAACTAACGTATTACTTATGCTGCATTAAGATCTGTTTTCCCGGTCTAGCTATCTTGTAAAGGCCCAACTAAATTTTTGACATCTTCGTACATTAATTCTTGTTAACAAATGAAAAGACGCAGATCCAAATATGATGCCATGTAAAACAAAACAAATGGAGATAACATATCTCAACTCGCCCTACGTTGATGGGAGTTGGAAGAATAGGAAAAGGTAACGAGCAAATTGATGCAATATTAAATGAAGTGTTATAAAATACGTGTATATGCTTCGCATATATCCGTGTATGCTCGCTACGTTTTCAAAATGCCTCGCATATAGGATATGCTAATGATGCAGTAAACCTATTTTGTTCACCTTATATGTACGCTTAAATTAACCCAAATAATTCAAGTCCATGAAATATTTTCAGTTTCTAAAAATTAACCCAAATCTAAAAATTCACAGCGACCAAAATACTTGGAATTTTGAAGTGATTCCAGTTGGAGAAGGTAGCCATATGGATTCTCTATCTTTCGGACATGGAATCATGAATGTTAATTGTGTAAAATTCAAGTTATTGACGTTTTTCCAAGGGCTGCGAGAATGTATCCGAGAACAAATAGATCCAGTTTCGAAAACAATTTTGACCCATCTATCGATTGAATTTCCATATGAAATTTTAACCTTTAATTCTTTAGATGACTACAATTTTGTAAATTTTGGATTTCATTTTGTTGCTGAACAGATCATTTTTTTTCTTTTAGAAAGCGATACAAGCTGAAAAGCCAAATTTTCCCAAGGGAAAAAAATGAAAAGAAAAAAGAAAAAAGAGAAGAAGTTAGTTTTGCATTGATTTCTTTGAAGCCTTAATGCTTCTAATCCAAGTTAATTTTCGCATTTTTATAAACAATCTAGGTAGAATTTCGTAAAATTTAAGATTTTAGTAATCTTCTTTGATGGTGATATTCTCTATATTACATCGAAGAGCATTTTTATTCCCCCCCCCCCCCCCCCCCCCCCCCCCCCCCCCCCCCCCCCTCCCCCCCCCA